AGAAGGGAACCCATTAGAGCTTCGCGGTCAACTGAGTCGAAGGCTTTTTTCGGGTCAAGAAACACTGCGATCGTTGGTCGACGGAACTCAAGGACCTAACATAGCGTAAACATTTGATTAGTACACCCACGGCCAGACCAGAATCCGGCTTGTTGTTTACAGATTTTGATCTCTCTTAAATAAGTTAAACGTCGAAGTACTTTTGTGACGATCGGGATCAAACTTATCCCGGGGTGGTTTTCGCAATCGTTGCGAGATCCTTTCTTGAGAATGGGAACGATTAGTGGTTTATCCCAAGATGAAAGAATGTGCTCGTGTCCAAATGTTGCGCGATACGGTAGTAATGGAGCTTACGAGGTTACCACCCCCTATCTTGAAGAGAATGGGAGGGACCCCATCCGGTCCCGCTGCCTTTCCTCGCGTTACAGCTGGAATGCAAGACCGAATTTCTGCTTCTGCTGGAGAATTGCATGACACTTCCCAAGCAACTTCAGTTACATATGAAGTAAACTGACGAGCAGAAGGCCAGCTGAACCGTTCACTGAAGTATTCCGCCCGGCGATCAAGTCGTTGATCCATATTGTGAATAGCTTGTCTTATCTTATCGCAGACTGTTTCACTAAGGTTCGCCGACCTCCCGTATTGCGTATCAGTCTGAACAGCCTTTGATTATTCCCTGATGCAGCTGCTACTTCCATTTCACTGGCTATTTAGCCCACCAATTTTCACGATCCTTCTTGAGGTTCTTCATGAGCCGACGTTGCAGACACCACCGAACCCTGTTTTTATTCTGGCATGTCAGGATTTGTAGTGTTTGATCCATCAGTGCTACAAATTCATGAGATATCCTATACCTCCCACGGGCTTGAGGCTCAGACCCACAAGTAAAATTTGCTGCGGAATGCATTGCTCGCCTAATCCGATCCCATTGCTCATCTACGTCATCATTTTGAAGCGCGCTCAGCTCACGCACTAGCTCCGACTCGTAGAGTGCACGAACTGTAGGAGCAGACAGCCGATGATGAGCTGTCCGAGTTTGCTAGTTTTGTCAGTCGAAGAGTGAATTGTATGAAAACCAATGCATGGTGAGACTCAACGCAAGTGGTCCAATAGGACCTGTAATTTTTCACTGAGCCACGCCAACGGTAGCCTACTGTTATGTGGTCGATTTGAGTTAGCGTACCACTGAAACTGTAGCGCCACGTTGCCGTTCGTCGAGAGTTGTGTCGGAAGTTGGTACTGGGAAGGAACAGATGATGGTCTGAGCAGAACTGAAGAAGTTGATCGCTATTATCTACTCTTTGGCAGGACAGAGCACAACTACCACCTAGGCAAGCTTCTGGTGCGTTCAGTTTTCCAACCTGTGCGTTAAAGTCACCTGCTAGTACAACTATGTCGGAGCTTCGATTCATCCGAATTAAATCGGTGAGTTCATCATAGAAAGCGTTCTTTTGCGTAACAGAACCGCAATTGGTCGGTACATATGCCGATATGATGAACAAACATCTTTTGGTGTTATTTCCCTTACGGGCACTAATTGAACCCTACAGACGAACGCAATCAATAGGAGAGGACTCAGCCCTCCTACTGAGTACAATACCTACCCCGTGTTGGTCTACTGCACGGGCTTTGTCGTCGCCTGATGTGCAAAAAACGTATCTCGAAGACAAATCTGGCGCGCTCAAGAGGCTTAGAGTAGTAGGATCCTGGATTCGAGTTTCCGACACGCAACAAATATCAATACCTAAGGATTCCACTGTAGGCACCAGACAAGCTTGTTGACTTGCATCAGAGTCCTCATGTTGAAGGCACCCCAATTCCGTGATTGATGAGGTTTTAGAATCTGGAATCTATTTTGTGGTAAACTGCTTACAGCGCTATGTAGCAACGAACTTTGGCGAGTGACGAATAGGTTGTCTGAGGGAATGTTACGGGTCGGAAGAATGGGTAAATGGAGACGGTGTAAAACAAAGGTTGGGATGGCTGAGCAGTAGCCCGCTTATCACTAGCCACCCAGCTCGATGCAATAGGCAGCGCGGTCTTGATTATCCTGCGCGACGACCGATGCAGTATGGAATTAGTTTTAGTTTGTGTACGGGCACTGTTAGGCTGTCCAGTCACTAAGCACTAGAACAATTAGGGTTCTCGTCCAAAGCCTTTAGTTCTGACAAGAACTTAACCGCAAAGCAACGGAGTGGAGGCCCATTTACTTGGATCGATTACCCCTTGGCCATTTTTTACCTACTGGAACGCCAATTCTAGTCGACCCCCCCCCCCCCCNCCTTCCATGGTGTGACAAAAGTCAACCTGTGTAGCTCGTTGGGTCAGAGAGGTGCACAAGCCATCACACCACGTCAAGGTGAAATCTCGTAGTGATGGCTTACTGTCTTGAACCAATGGATCAAAGCTTTGTCTTTGGAACAGAGAGACCCACTGCTTGAGAAAAGGGGTGGTGGATTCGGTGCCACAAACACAAATTTGGAGCCCAGAGATCAGTTTGGCAAAACTGAATTCCAGTCAATGGGTTTAACATGACCGAGGCTCTCCGATCCACCAGTCATGGGTTTGTATGCCTTTTTTTACCACAAACGGGATGACTGTCTTCACACGTCAGAGTGTCGCCGAAGTATGGAGTATATTGCGCACAAGGGAATTCGATGCAAAGATATAGGTTGTCTTTTGGATCTATCAGATCTCGTATACATCGAGCGTATGTTTCAGAGCTGCCCCCCCACCCTCATATTGTGATTCTAAATCAGACACTGTTGATGCAGGTGCTCTTCGCCACCCACTCTAGGGAGGGGGGCGTGGGGTGCTATCAAAACACAATGCTGTGACAATTTATACGTGTTTCGTGAGAATAACAATCAAACTGGGAAACTGTAGCACACAAGATACATAATTTCTTTCTAATCAAAAAGGAAAGTGTTCATTCCAAAAAGTCAGGTCAGTTTACATACGTGCGTGCATGAGGGGTTACACGTCCATACACACAAAAAAGAACACATGCACGCACTGAATCCACATAAGATACAACGGAGAAGAGAAAAACAGACGTGCAAGGTGATGCAAAGACGGATGGACAAACGAACAGTGGGCGAGAGCAGAGATGTGTTGTGGCTTAATATATACTGTGTAGAGGAGACCGAACCATGGGTCTAAAAACGAGTCCCACACAAGCATCTATTAATTTGTCATTCTCATTCGCGTTCTTTACGCCGTTTCTTGTCTTTTCGCTTCTTCTTGCTGTTACGCCTTTCTGCGTCCAAACCACTCTCAGAATGGCGAGCACGATAGGCATCGGGTGACGGTGGACTGGAACCACCACCAGCAGCGCCACCAGTAGAACCACCGCGACCTGGTGAAGACCAACGACCGTATGGTTGTGCGTCCGTACTCTGCATAGGCATGTGACCAGAACCAAATTGATAATGATGATGTTGATGATGGTGGTGATGGTGCTGCTGCTGCTGCTGGTGATAGTGGTGTTGAGAAGCTGTACCCGGTGAAGCCGAGGTGACCGTTTGTGGGTGAATGGAGTGTAGCAAAGGCGGTGCGGGAATATTTTGCTGTTGCTGCGGTTGGCTGGAATAGGAGCCTAATGTGTCCGAGCTGGGATAGTTGGTGTTGGCGCTGGCGCTGGTACGGGGATTGAGTGGAACCGCGGAGCCATGAACTGGTGCCAACAATGGCGGTGGCGGGGGTGGTGGAGGTGGGGCGGTGGATTGATCCGATGACGAGCTGTTTGAAAATTGTGTCGCAGGGACCGGGGCAGATACTGGTATCAAACCGGGAGGTAAATCGACCACTGGTCGATTACTAGTGGGGCCTGAACCAGTATCGACCACCAAAGCAGAGTTAGGAAGTTGTGCCGAGGCGGCTGGTGTAGTAGCACTCGTCGGAGCCATGTGCGGCGGATGTGGTAAGTGGGTATGTGCGTGTGAGGACTGCAAATTGGACGGTGTAGATGAAGACGAGGACGGTGGTGCTGACGGTATTTGACCATGAGCAACCAGAGCCGAGGCAGGAGCCGGTGGAGGAGGGCCGGGGAAAAATGGATGTGCCGGATGTCCAGAAGAACCAAACGTATTGGATATTAACCCCGCGCCGCCTGAACTGCTGGGGTTCCCGGAAATACCACGAGCAGCTTCGTAACGTCTACGGCGGCGCGGGGGATAGGAGTTTCCCATACCACTAAGACCAGGAGCGGCAGTGGCCGGGAGACGAGATCCGGAACTAGCACAGAGACCGGAATTCGATGTATCCGGTGGCTGACCCGTATTCCCTGTACGATTTCCGGTGTTTTGGGACTGAGGTGCAGCAGCGAACAGAGCAGTGTATTCAGCTGGCAAGGGGCCCGGGTGAAGACGAAATGCTTGATCCAATTGGCCAGGAGCAAACTTTCGTAGTTCTTTGCCTCGGATCGGCGGTCTTTCTATGAGAGCCTATGAGAAGAAAGAGAAGACACGAACTTTCATAAATATGTAATCTTAGTACACACGAAGCTATAATTCTCATGGTTTTCATATTTCATGTAACAAAATCAGTTGGAAGTTCAAATCCATTGTCGAAATCGTATGGCTGGTAGCTAGGCATCAAAGTAATTGCATTCAATTGGTTAATAATTGCTTTTAATCGAGAATACATTTACCACGAGACAAATAAGACCCTGTTATGCATTGCACTCAATAGCTGAAATAGTGTGTGTAGATACTTGACACAATTGGTCGGGAGCGCCAGGATTTTTTCGGGCCATGCATCACAGTATGCTTAACAGTCAAAGCACTGCGCGCTTGTTCACATGTGGTGGTGGTGGTGCAGTGGTTGTGTCGCTGTAACCGACGTGCTATGGACCCTATGGTCCAAGGTTTGAGCCCGGCCATCGCCACCCAACTTTAGTAGTAGGCAGCTTTGCTGTAGTCTGCTCAATACCACGCTTAACCTAGTGAGACCTTATGTGGTTCGCCACTTAAGGTCCCAGGGCTTAGGTTGCCGGTTTTCATCATTGAACAAAAGGTACTCGTGGCTATGGGGTTTACCGCGTCTACTGTTCATCACACTAAGGTGTTATAAAAAGGTAACTTCCTCGTATCGGTGGATGAATCGGAGTATGGTAAAGGGTGACACCTTCAGTACCGGTCGGCTTTTTTCTTCGAGTGTGAACATAGCCCCTGCACAGATGAAAGCAACCTGTAGGCTAATAGGGTTATCAAATCTGGTAACCTTGGACCTTGAAATTGGAGTGATGAGCCATACTTAACACAATACTCAACAGGATAGGTGTGATACAGAACTGAAAGACGGCAATTTTTAAAGCACCAAATTCGGGTGACGGTAGTGGTGGTGAACTTTCAACCTTGGACCCTGATGACTGATGTATGCTAGTGGCAGGAACTTGAAACATTTGACTACGATCACGACCATTACCCACGTCTCCATAGAGATCGCTCATCTTCAAGGTGTGGGACATAAGTGACGGTGGTTAGGTAGTTTAAGTTGATGTTGCCGATGTGCTTTGGGCCCTAGTGTCTGAGGTTCCAACTCCATATCCTACTCCATCACCCAACTTTGGTGGTAGACGGCTTTGCTGTGGTCCGACGCAAAACCACAACTGTGTTACTGGGAGCCTTTTGTGGTTCGCCAATCGAAGTTCCGAGGCATAGTTCACCTTTTTTTACTGTGACCCGCAAGATAGTGTGTACTAATTTTAAAAAGTTGTACATCGATTTTATTAAGAACCTTACGTAGTTCACCGCTCGAAGTCCCTATTTAGGATGTCAGTTACTACAGTTAAAAACTAGTTCTCCTTAATAATGATGTTCAACCTTTCTTCAGTTCAGTACACAAAGAAATATCATAGAAAAACTTATCCATTTCTTCCATTCAACCTCTTATTTCTTCCAATTCCTGTAGAGGACGGAGAAACGGCTTTTGCGAGCATCCTGGTAGTCGTTTGTGGTCACCTGATTCAACATATGATCACGAAATCTCTATCTATGCGCACTGTTGACGCACATCAGTTGTGAAAAAGCTACTGCACATAACATTCACAATAAGGTGAATGAAAAGCTACTAGCACACTATCCCCCAACCCATCTTATGTAAGTTCTCGCAAACGAGTAGATGTGCGTATGTATAGTACTGTATTGAAGTGACTTGTGTAAGAAACTATGCCTGCATTTCCGTCAAATATGTGTCCACCCTTACAATGGGATCAAAAATGAAGAGTCATATACAATAATGATAAAACGTAAACAGGACATCTTCTTTTTAGATTTAAAATTAATTCGTTTAGAACCTTCTTGTCAATCAGAATGCATGATTTCATCAATACACTGGACCCGTAAACAGACAAAAAAAATAATTTAGTAGAATTGTTTTTACCTCTGAGAACTCAACCATCCACAGACACCTGAATGTCGAGACGGTGCCAGAGATGTTTCAAGTTGGCCAATACCGATGGAGTCTTCTGTGTGCGTGCCGACACTTCATCCGTGATGCAACCGCCGGACGAGGTGTAGCAAAATTTTTTCATTACCTCCATTACTTCTTCGGTTGAAGTGAGGTTGGCAATTGAACCAACCCAGACCTGTAGCAACATTTTGCAATTTGAAGGTACAAAACGCATGCCAAAAATAACTGCCGGGACTCATCTAGAAAACCTTCTTTCTTATTCCAGCCACAAGTAACGACATTTGATGTCAGTCCCGTTTGAACCGCGATTTTATCAGCTACTCGTCGGACAAAGAAGCAATGGTCAAACACGGTTACTATCAGCGAGTCCGCACAGCTCTATACTAGTCGTATGACCTTATCAGTGATGGACTGTTGTCTGGTGTTTGCAGATAGTGATCATTTCAGTATTCATTCACCAATTGGCCTTTCGGCCGTTCATTCAGAAATGGGCCGTATGACTGAAGTCTGTGGTGTGTAACTTACTTCCTGACTGTCTATGGAATCTACCGTCAAGATGTAAGAAGTTGCCTACACTACCGAAAAGCTCCTGAATTCTCTATAAAGGAAAACATTTTCCATGGGGATGTTCCAGAAGGTTCGTGGCTTCGAATGCATGTCACTTATACCGGGTCAGATGACGGAACATGCTATCTGGTTCTTTCAGATGCACTTTTCCGAGAGGTCAGACGCTGGGCAGAACACAGACCAGTTTGTTCAAAACATCAAAACGCTCGGTAAATACTGTAATCCTCGGTTCATCTCAGCCGAAGAATACTGCGGCGATGCTATGCGCGACGCATTCATAACGGGACTCCAGTTTCATGTCATTCGTACGAGACTGCTGGAACAACCCTTTCTAACCTTCCCGTCGGCATACGATAAGGCCAGGCCCCTTGAAATTTCTCAAAAGCAGTCGCGGTCGTACGAATCAGAGAGCATTCCATGTGCGTCGACTAATTCGCTTTTCCGACCAATTCCGTCACCGACCATGAACCCGTTCTATCAGCGGCTTCTAAAGAGACATACTATTTTGCGGTTATTCAAGGCACCCTCGTACCAAGTACCCCGATAGCGGGGCCGTCTGTAAAAACTGTGGAAAAACAAGACACTTCAAGCGTGTGTGCAGATCTAAACCAACGCATCCATAGATCACATCTGCCCTTAGCCCCTTACTGTTCTCCACATTCACTGCCGCCACTCCCACTTGTTTGTCCCGTGCTACTACCACCGTTTTTGTGAATGGCATTAAAATTCAAGCACTAATAGACACTGGTAGCTCCGACAGTTATGTATCCCATTCTATTGTAAATACCTAAGGCTGGAAAGTCTATTCTTGTGACTCGAAAATTACCATGGCCTCCACCTCCTTCTCTCGTGCTATCACTGGTTATTGTAACGTGACCATCCGATACCATGACGTTTCCTACAAAAACATACGACTTGCCGTAATGCGCAATCTGTGTGTTGATGTACTACTTAGCCATAACCTTCTTGGTTTGCATGATAGAGTAGAAATACCGTTCGGTGGCAAACATGATCCTTTATCACTCTGCAACCTTTCCGCTGTCAAAATTGAATCACCTCCCTTGTTCGCCCACCTCTCCGCTGACTGTGAACCAATCGCAACCAAATCCAAAAGACATTTAGCTGAAGATGTACAGTTCATTAAGTTCGAAGTGCAATGCATTCTAATCGATGGTATCATTTAACCTTCAAACTCCCCGCGGAGGGCCCAAGTCCTTGTTACCACGAACGTCAACATCTCACGCTATGCCGTATACAGCACCTTTGATTTGAAAAGTGCTTACCATCAGAGATTCCCATCAAAGACCACGAGAAGCCTTACACCGCATTTGAAGCATGTGGCAATCTCTTCCAGTTCTGCCGTGTACCGTACGGGGTTACTAACGGTGTCGCTTGTTTTCAAAGCACAATTACCAAAATGTTAAAAGCAGAAAGTCTGAAGAATACGTTCGCATACATAGACAACGTTACCGTATGTGGTTCGACCCCGGAGGACCACGATCGAAACCTCGAACGCTTATTGAAAGCCGTCGCCAAATATGGCATCACTCTGAATGAATCAAAAACTGTAATCACTCGGAAACCCAGCTCCTTGGTTATCACATATCACAAGGCCTTATCAAACCCGACCAAGACTGAATGAAACCCCTGCGTGAAATTCCCCCACCTGCGGGCAGCAAGGCCCTACGCCGTGTGATTGGTCTCCTCGTTTACTACTCGCAGTGGATACCGTCATTTTCGGACAAATCAATCCACTAGTTCAGAAAAAAACATTCTCTTTGCCACCATCCGTCAGAAGCGCATTTGGGGGACCGTAGACCACGAGATACCCTTGGTCGTAGAAACAGACGCTTCCGATGTAGCTATAGCAGCATCACTCACCCAAAATAACCGCCCTGTAGTCTTCTTTTCGCGCACTCTGGCTCAAAGCGAACGACACCCCTCCGCTGTCGAAAAGGAAGCCTGCGCCATGGTCGAAGCAATTCGCAAGTGGCGACACTATTTTCTGGGCAGGCACTTTAAACTTATCACGGATCAACGTTCGGTAGCCTTTATCTTCTATAACAACCACACTAGTAAAATCAAAAACGACAAAATCCAGATGGAAATTCGAGCTGCGGGCTTACCACTATGACATAGTATACCGACCTGGTAAGGACAACTCCGTCGCGGACGCACTCTCCCGTAAAGTATGTGCTTCCAACTTTGACTGACAGAAACTGAAGACGCTACACGACTCACTTTGCCACCCTGGAATCATGCATATGATCCACTTTGTGCGCTCCAAAAATCTACCGTACTCGGTTGAGGAAGTTAAAACAATGACTTTTCGATGCAGCATATGTGCTGAATTGAAACCGCGCTTTCACAAGTTGCTCACAGGGCACCTGATCAAGGCTACGCAACCATTTGAAAGACTCAGTATCGACTTCAAAGGGACGTTACCCTCAACGTCTCGTAATCGGTACATTCTGACACTCATACACGAATACTCCCGGTTCCCATTCGCCTTCACCTGTCCAGATATGCAATCGTCTACGGTCATTAACTGCCTCTGCCAATTACTTTCGATCTTCGGGATGCCAGCCTATATCCACTCAGATCGGGGTCTATCGTTCTGATCGTCTGAACTATCAACTTTCTTATGAGATAAAGGAGTGTCTATTAGTCATACAACCGCCTATAATTCGCAAGCTAATGGTCAGGTTGAGCGAGTGAACGGTACTCTTTGGAAGGCTATTTCCCTGGCACTGGAGAAGAGGGGCTTAGCTACCTCCCAATGGTAATCCGTCCTACCAGACGCACTGCACTCGGTCCGTTCTCTCTTATGCACCGTCACAAACGCCACTCCACATGAACGCCTTTTCTGTTTTGCCCGATGCTCCACCAGTGGTACATCTCTTCCAACCTGATTGACTACCCCGAGCCCCGTACTGCTCAAACGCATGGATCGGTCCTCGAAACTGGATACCCTCGCGGAGGAAGTTGACCTTATCAATTGCAATCCGCATTACGCCTTGGTGAAACTTCCTAATGGAAGAACAGAATGTCTCCATTCACCGTTTGGCCCCCCGGCGTGACCCACCGGTATCGACACCCGAACTCCTAGTACCACCGCACCGCTTCACATCATCCCTTCGACAGAATTCGACACCTTATCTGAATTTCTAAGTCTCGATGAAGAATGCACCCCTCCACCGGCAACGCTCACACCCACTCATATACTAATATATTAAAACAACAGCAGAGAACACGCCCTTACAACCTACAAAGTAGAGAAGCGTGAAAAAATAACTTACTACTTAGTCTTTTTCCCACTGCAAAACACAAGTGTTTCACCTTCCATAAAAGGTCGTTTCCCAGCCGGGATGAATGTCATATTCTGGTTTTCTTGTTTATAAGAGGTTTATGGGGTACCCGGTAGGAATAGCACCTCTGACTCGGAGGGCTGTCAGCCCCTTTGGGGCATCCCCCGTTCTTTGGTCTCCACCGGGTGCTCAGCTCTCACGTGTGGCTCCCAGAAGCTGTTTGGATGCAACACTGGACACACCCCGGTAAAACGCTAGATGGGCGGGCTAAACCAGGTTGACGGTAACCGGGAGCTCAAATCCCGGCGAGTCGGGGTCTAACGTACGTGTTGGGCGAACGATATCGGCTTCACGACTTAATAGCCGAGGCAATGACTCCGTAATCACCAGGGATGCATGGATCCCTGTTCAGCTAACAACTGTCAATGGCGTGTGAGCTCCTCCCAGAGGGCCAACGGCAGCCATGCGCTACCTTCCTGCTGCCTTGCATTTAGCACGTGGATGTGCCAACTCGACCCGAAGCCGGGTAACGCAAGGGACGTTTCCTGTACTTAACTCCCAAGAAATCTCATGGATATTCACTCAACCTGTCTTGCTAATCACACTACGGCGTTCCCGGGAAGCGACGCGTCCTGTGCTCCTCCAGTGGCCCGGGTGACAAGTATGCGCACTGGATACCTCAAACT